CTGAAGATATGAAACACATTCAGGTCTTAAAATCCAGCCTATACTATAACAACTCAAACTTCCCCTGATTAAACTCCACATCAGGTCACATTGTTGAGTTGCAGCCATCTGCTTTTAACCCGCTCACACAAACGTTACAAACATTCGGCAGATGGCCGCTCACTCTGAGCCTGGTTCTGCTGGAGGTTTCTTCCTGTTAAAAGGGAGTTTTTCCTCTCCACTGTCGCTACAAGCATGCTTAGTGTGAGGGATTGTATTTGAGTCGATGCAATCAACTGGTTTTCCTTAGATAGAAAACTTTGTATCAATTTGACTGTATGATCTGGTTGAACTGTAAAGTGCCTTGAGATGACATGTGTTGTGAATTTGGCGCTATATAAATAAACTGAATTGAATTGAATTGAATTACGGTCTGAAAAGTTATTCTACAATTCCATGATCATCTGCAACAGATAAATTCAGTTATATTAATATTTACAAAAAGAAGCTTAGAACTCTTAATGTTTATAAAAGCAGACTTTGCAGAATGTGGTTATATCTTAACTTTGATTTAAATGTCCTGTTTGTGCTGCCCTGTGATAGGCTGGTGACCTAGCACTGCAAAAAAAGAAATCTCAATAAGTTATTTTTTCTTAAAATAAGTGCGTTTTTCCTTGAATTGAGGAGGTAAGTAAGACACTTTGCCAATGGAACAAGACAATTTCCTTTTAAAATAAGAAAAAACTATTTTATCGTCTTATTTCAAGTAAATATTATCTAACTATCTTATTTTAAGAGTAAAAATACTCATTCCATTGGCAGATCATCTTATTTACCTGCTCAAATTAAGGGTAAATATACTTAATTTAATAATTTTTTACTTATTTCTGGATTGTTTTTGCAGTACAGGGTGTAACCCGCCTCTTGCCCGTAGGCAGCTGGAGATAGGCACCATCACTTCTCGTGACCCCATCTGGGGTAAGCATATTGGAAAATGGATGGATGGATGTTTGTAGCAAAAGAATAAGCTTTTCTGTTACAGTTTGAACTTAAAGGACTAATCTGTACAATTTGGAAATTTTTCTATAAGACATCTATTCTACAAAATGGACATGAAGGCATCATTTTACCAGGTCATTAAAAAGATTCTGTGCGGAGAGTTTTTTTTTCAGGGCTTGTTTTTTTCCTTGTCATTAATAAACAGCTATGTCGTCTATGTCTTCCTACCAGAGAAAGAAGCTTAGTGCAAGATTCCATGTAAGGCAGATGAGTTATCAGAGAGGAAAACAAGTTGTAAAACAAGTGGAAGGCAAGGAGAAGGAAAATACGGAAAGGTTTATGCTGGATTTGACGCCACCATCCATAGAGAACAGCAGAAATAAAGCAAAATCTGAACTATTGATTTTTATTGTATCCGTTCTTATAATTAAATGTTGATGAATTGTTGAAATATTGTTTAAATACAATGTTTTTTCAGATTTCTTTTGTCCAAATTGCATAATGTACAATCTATATAAACCTTTAACTGGCAGTAGTTTATTCATCGTATGGGGCAACAATCTCTCATATGGGATAACAATCAATTGGTAATTGGTAAACTTAATTCACTTTAGATTCAAATGTTCAAATATAAACAGTGGTTAAGTGGATATTATTTATTTACATTTCAAAACAGTTTAATGAGTTTTAGAGTAAAATGGATGTTGAATAGCATTATGAGGAAGACGGGGACAATATAGTTTATAATTATAAAATTATGATTTACAAAAAATGAAAAGGCACACAAGATTCTTCTTTTGAAAGTTTTTTTACTTATCGCTGATACTGGATAAATTATTACTATTTTTAAACAAATATATAAATTCCTAGATTTATCTATTTTTATTATCATTTTTTAAACATTTTTTTATTTTATAAGAAAAACAAAAAAATTATTATCAAAAAAGACAGTGGCGGTTTTCTGTCAGATCAGTATATGCTGTTAGATCGGCATACAATTAGTTTTTATCTAACCTAAATGAATTCAGAGTCACAATATAAACCACTGCTAAAGCTTGATATGATTTTAAAAATGAAAACAAAATCTGTCCAAATTCTGTATGATGTTCTGACAGCAGAGCAGAGTAGCCTGCTGGGCAGACAGCGCTTGAATTGAAGAGAGGATTGATACCAACTGTCCATGACAAAGCTTTAAAGGTAAGAGCTAGGTACAACTTTACTTTGTCGGAGTGCTTAGCCTGATAGCCTTCAAACACCCAAAGGAATGTTTTACTGCTCAAAGCTTACTCTCTTATAGCTCATGAAACATATTTTAGTTTCTCAACTCAGTACAGAAACGTATTGCATTCACCAAAGAAAAAGAAAATCAGACATCTTATCTGATAATTACAAGATCAGTATCTCGTAATTATGAGATCTTTTCTGTTAATTACTTGATAAGATCTTATAATTACGAGATAATAACTCATAATAACGAGATAATATCTCATAATTAAGAAATAGGATCTTGTAAAATAATTCCATCCACATTGAGGAAACTCCGTATTTCCCAGTGTCGCATACCTAAAAGAAAATAAAAGCATATTAAATCCGACAACCCACTCATTGTTCACGATTCATGTAGTGTCGCTAAGCAATGACTGTCCCACCTGATCTCCTAAATATGAGATGTTATCTCAATATTAAGAGATCTTATCTAGTAATTATGAGAAAAACTATAATATTAATATCAGGATCTCATAGTTACAAGATCAATTTCTCGTAATTATGAGATCTTATCACGTAATTATGAGAAACAATCTTACAATTGCGAGATACTGATCTCGTAATTATGAGATAAATCACCAATTTTCTTTATTTTCTTTGGTGTATGACATATACGCTTCCGTATCCCAGTCTCATTTTAGACTACATTTTTTGTCACATGTCTCAGGGTTTTTTTCTCCTTAAAATCACCAAGAGAAATAAGGTAAGGCATTAACATTACAGTACAGGAGTCATAGATGAGATTTAAAGGAGATACCTTGAAAACTATTTTTAAAGAAATACACTCATTCATAGATTTATTTATTTATTTTTATTATTATTATTATTTTTTTTTTATTTATTATTAAGAATGACGGTTTCCTGTCAGATCAGTATATGCTGTTAGATCGGCATACAATTAGTTTTTATCTAACCTAAATGAATTCGGAGTCACAATATAAACCACTGCTAAAGCTTGCTGTGCCAAATTTAAATTTCCGCACACATGTTTCTTACTACTAAAGTAACTAATTTTAGATTAATATTGACTAATATGGTTTTAGTTATAGAGGTTTCTTCTCTCAACATCGCAGAAACTTCCATAATATCTCGCCATTTCTACACCCAAGAATAAACAGTTAAATTAAAGCTGATTTAAAGGAGATACTTTGAAAACTTGAATTTACCCAGTCACACCCCTTCACCCACTGACACGCTTGCCACACATAGTCACACACCATTATAATATGCCACTTTGTAGCCACAGCTGCCGTTGAGCTCACAGACAAAAGCAATGCTCCCACACATGGGCACCATCGGGCCCATCAGCTCTCTTCATGTACAGTTTAAAATCGCTTGCCCAATGACAAAACGACACTAAAAGCCAGAGCTCTCGTCTCATAATTTTGAGCGAGTGTTACCCTGTGAGCTAGTATTAGCTCAGTTTAGCCCTTGCGTAAGTGTTGCCACAAAAATTAAAGACTGTAAGTTGCCGTAACATTAAATGCCAAACAAAATAATGAAACCTGTAAATTCCACTAGAAAACTAAGATCAGCTGCATTAAATAAGACCTAAGATACAAAAGTGACGCCGTCTCCTTTAAGCATATATTTTCAAAGTGATTTTTTCCCCCCAAGATTCGCTTAGAACGGGGACACAATTTAATGGAAGACCAGATAATAATGAAACAGTTGACCCAAATCCTCTCATTAGTGGCTACAGCTTAGGTTTTGTTCCACAAAGCAATAAAAGAAAAACTTTGAGGTTAACAGAGGGAAACAATCTGAGCGGTAATGTAGTGCCATTAATATAAAATGAGCGAAGATAAAGCGGATGATGTTTCTTTGAAGAGCAAGAGGTCAATGAAAAAAAGAAAAGCTCATTTTTTCTGCTGCAAAAAGATACATCATCCTCTCACCATACTGGCTGAAGGCTTCAACAGCAAATCGTTAACTGAGCTTGTTTTCAAAAATCTTGGGTTCTTAAAACCGGAGGGACCAGCTCGTGCACATCCTCATTACTTGGCCTGTCCTACTCCCTCAAACTCCCTCTGCTTTCACTTTTTTTACTCGGATCTCAGCAAATCTAAGCAGATGGGAAACTCATCAGTGAAAGCTGACAATCTGCTTTGATCTCAGAAAGGTATCCATTGCCGGTTCAGCCTGCATTTTTGCTGCCTACAGAAAAGCAGCTCCTGCATTTTTTAGTATCTGGTACTTTTTGGAGTTTTACATAATTATCTGAAGCAGAGGTTGTAGGATAAGAGAACCTTGCCTCACAGATGAGTGCTTTTTTTTTTTTCCCAGGAAAGCAGGCGGATCAGAGAAATGTTGACACATAAAGACACTTCTCTTTCACAAAATCAGCACAGAATATTTGAAAATATTTCTGGTGTGACAGTCAACACGGAGGGAACCCCTTTTCACATTGTTCTTTCATGGGAAGCGAAGGTTGCTGTTTAAAAAAGAAATGAGAGGCCGTTCATATAAACAACCCCTGAAGATCTCATTAGCACTAAACAATCAAGGTTAAAATAAAGTAAGAAGTTTCATAAAAACTTTGGCATCATCAAGGTAAACAGCTGCTGCAGAAGATTAATGAGTCAATAACAGCTCTCTGGCAATTCATGCTTACAGCACTGCATTAAACATAAAAGGTACACATTGGTAATTAAAAAGCTTTACATGTTGAAACATTAATTTATTCAATCAACTATAAAAACCGCATCAATTATTTCCAAGCGAGCGTTTTTTTACAGTCTAAATGCTGTTCTTACCTTGGCATTGTAGGCTATGTAGTGCTTGGCCAGAGCTTCTGGGGTGTGCATCCACGACTTATCTGCAAAAAGACAAACCAAACCACAATGAAAGCAGTCCAGTTAGTGCTGTCATTAAAGATTAGGTGCTTTTGGCCACATTACTGGTTTATAAAGCCCCATTTACACTACCCTCTGAAAACAGTGCCGAGCTTGGATTAGTTAACCGTACCGAGTTTGGTTCCTTATGAACATTTACTAACCGCGCTAGCATGGTTCCTCGCCTCCTAGTGACTATCTATGGTACTACTGCTCTCTAGAGGGAAACAAGCAAATCAACATGGTGGCGGCCGAAACATTCAGGAAGTTTGCAGAGAGTCAGGGGAGGAAGGCAGCCTATGGTTAATTCACTTTATAGAGTCGACTTTTGGGAAGTGGATATGACGAACGAGAGTCTAATCAGGGCTTACTGATGCAGGACACAACGACGGACGTTGAGGTTCATTACAATGCTAAGCAGAATCATCAATGGAAATTGTGTGGCACGGTAGGGAAGCTAGTAGTTTTATAAATGTCTGAAATTCCATGATTACGGAGGCTGACTGTAAGGAGATCACCTGGTCTGTTTATGCACTCTTTGTTGTCGGAGAAATGAGCCTGAATTACACTGCTGTGTAATGACAAATTTATTGTCATTACACAGGTACAAGGCAACGAAATGAACTATGATGAACTATACCACCAGTTTAGCGTGATTCCGTTATGTCTGGCGCGGTCCGGTTCAGTTTTGCGTGCCTGTTACACTCAACAGTCATCTTGGTTACCGTGTTTGGACTCGGCACAGTTTCAAAAGGGTAGTGGAAATGGGGCTCATGTCTGCATGAACAGGTGTCATGGAGCCAGGTGTATATAGTATGGTTCGGAGGTAGCACAAAACACAGTATGCCTTGAGAATGATCATAAACATACAACTTTTTCTTTACCCTGCTTATTTTACAGACTAAAACTTGTTTAAAATGCTTGTGGTAACAAATCTCAGGTTATTCTGAAACAGGCTTTATTTGCATAAGAAACACAGTTATGAACCTTATTCTATCCATTAGAGAATAGAATGATTAGAGGCCTGTCACCCTTACGCCTGAGGTCTTGAAATTCTTTGAGTGTTGAAGCATCTGAAATAGATCAAAGCTCCACTAATGAAGTAATAGAGTAAACTTCATACTCTATTCTCCACCACCTCAACTATGACCATGTGTGCCAGGATCCGGCTTTTAAACTTAAACTATCTTGAACATAGGCATCCTCCTGCAGAAGCTAACTAAGCTTATAATGCTTCTCTTCAGAAATGGCAAAAGTACTCACTTTCCGTACTTGAGTAAAAGTATAGATACTTGTGTTAAAAAATACTCTGGTAAAAGTGGAAGTAGTGATTAAACTTCTTTACTCAAGTAAAAGTAACAAAGTACAGGCTTGTAAATTTACTTAAAGTATAAAAGTAAAAGTAGAAACCACTTTTTTCATGCCGTTGCCTACATTTTAAACGGATGTCTGCCAAAAGGACTAGATCTCCGTTGTGTTCATTTTCAATCATCTCGTCGTCCATACTACTATGCTAACGCCACCGCCACCAAGCAGCTACCACCGAATCTGTCGATTCATCTTGTAGTGGTGCGTCAAATGCAACGTAGATTCCCATCCAATTAGATTGAATTTGGTATTAATGACGTGAAAAATAATAACGGTAACTCCATTGAAATGATTCAAAACTAAAGTAACGGGCCAATTTTTAAAAATGTAAGGTAGAAAGTACAGATATTTGTGTAAAAATGTTAGGAGTAGAAGTAAAAAGTCGCCATAAAAATAAGTAGTAAAGTAAAGTAAAAATATCAGAAAAATCTACTTGAGTACAGTAACAAAGTATTTGTGCTTCGTTACTTCCCATCTCTGCTTCTCTTCCAGACATCCAGAGAACACCAGCCACATTTCCTCCACTATCTATCCTCATCAACACTGTGTCAAATCTTGACCATTTCTCAGGAACCACTCCTTTCAATACCTTAGTTGGTCTTCTCACATCGACAAAAATGAAACCCTAGTAATGGATTTTGGGAAACTTCCACAGGAGCTGCTGGTTATCTCTCTAATGCCATTATTTGGGCTGTCCTCAGCACATCCATCTCTGTGTGGTTTGGCTCAGTCATAAAACTGGACAGGTCCAAACTGCACCAACAGATCTGCTCAGGGGGCAGGACTTGTACAAATCAACGGTCAGGAAAAGGAGAACCAACAGCTCTGCAGTTTACTAACATCTTAACCTGAAAATGAATCCCTACATTTGGATTTTTAGGAAATAATTTCTTAGCTTTCATGCTTTAATGCTAATTTCAAATTTTTTTGTATGAAGTGTTATGGTTCTAGTATGCTTTTACTCCCTTTTTATCTAGCCACGTCCATCTCTTCTACAACCTTGATCCCAATTACATGACCAAGTATGCAAATCAGGCAATTACATCATAAAGTGACTTTTAGGACAGCCAATGGCTATTTTCCTTACTGAGCAGTTGGTTAAATCAGACATCTAATTTGTTTCTGTCAAGGTTGATGACCTATATAATCAGCACAATTTGGAGTCATCATTCATTATTAACCAAATTCCAAAACTTTCCTCACAGCTGCCCTAGAAGCTGGTTCTTGAAGATTGAAACTGAGCCATGGCGCAGAGGTCATCACAGGTCACTGATATCACAATCTAAACATCTCATTAGTCCACCTTTTCTCTTCACTTTCACTTTTCATTTTCTGTGTACAGACTGCTTATTACAGCAGTAATGAATCTTGGGACAATATATGCATGATTGTGACCTGAGGACATTAAACTTGTATAAATTTATTGGGGTCGCCAAATTTGGCAAGGTGTTGACTGTGAGACTCGTCACTAGTGTGACCTCTGAATAAGAATGCCTTGTTTACATTACTGCTTGTAGCCAACTAGATAACCTCATTTGAATTTTAATTAGTTTCGTTTAAACGTACAATTTGCCTGAATTGGATATAAGTAGCTAATGACCATAGAGACAATCATCATAGAGGTAATGTTTCACAATTTCCTCTCTTTTATGAATTCGGCTTAACTCTTCTAGTCACTGCTGTCAGATACTACAGGGCTAAAAGTATCATTTTTCCCCCCTCTATCTCTAAATCAAAGAAAAAAAAAATCAACTTTATCTGCTCAGGTTAATCACAAGTTGATATCTCACCTCCAAATATCCAAACAAATTTTAAAAAAATCTATATCTAAAATGCTTCAGGAGGTTGTAAAAAAAATTGTTATAACATCACCAGAACTTTGACCTTTATTTTCACTTTTCAGTCTTTGCAGTAACAACTATTATAAATGCACTGCCCTTACGGCGACTTATCAGCCTTGCAAGAGGTGAGAAGTGATTGCATCTCACGGCAGTTTCCTAAAAAAGTAATCCTTTTCGTTGTGGGAATAAAAGCTGACAGAAGTGATGCATCTCCTCTTGACCTTAAAAACTTGAGAAGCCAAAAAAACAGAAAAGATTTGAAAAAAACTAGCTACTTATATCCATGTATACTATGGGTTTAATCATTTTACAAGGTCTTAATATAATATATATTTTGTGTTTTTATACTTAGCATAAGCACCCAATTGACTTATATTACTATGGTTCTTTACATCTTTTAAACTTTGTCTTTGTCTCTGTGGTTATCTAATTAAAAAAAAAAAATTTGGAATTATTTTAACCAATCGACTGGAGGTATGATATAGCATAATAATGCAATCAGTGGTTCCCAAAGTGGAAGGTGCACCCCTACCCAGGGAGGGTAGTGGTTGAAATGAACTACATAAATAACCCATTCTGAGCGTTTTCTTTTTGTGTATTGAACATAACATTTAATACATTTTCTTTTAAATGAATAGTTAGACTGAAAATAATGTGATAGTTGATATGCCACATACAAGGGTTGGCCTTTATTTTCAAGCCTTTAAAGAGAATAGCCCTGGTGCAAAATGTGTTTCCACACTCAACAAGCACAAAGTAAACACTATTATTGTGAATGATTGGCATATATTGATCTATTTGAAGATGATTAGACTTTGTTGTGTTTTTTATAGCCATATACATAACCTGGTCCCTTTAAATGCTTTTAAGTTGGAGATGGATAACACCTGAACATTTCATTGTTTATCATCCAAACAATAGTTTATAACAAACACAATTTTGTTGAAAATCACACCTAATCTATTGGCACTTTGATGTCTTGTGCCTGCAACATCATGCCCATGGGTTTCTGCTCTAATTAACCTGAGTAGACAGATCGCTCCTTTCAAGTGAAACAAGAAAAACACTTTGTACCTTCAGATGAAAACAAAACCTCACATTACACAAACAACACAGCAAAGTTTCCCAAATTAATGATGGGGCTCCAGCAGTGCTGCTTTTCAACATTTTCATTAGTGAATTAATCAGAAATCAAAGCGCTTATGCGTGTCTTGCATGTATAATCGAGTTCCGCCATGCATGTCAGTGGGAACGATTGAGGTCCAGCACCTTTTGCTTTTCAACCTTCACTTTACCCTGCAGCTTTGTAACCATGAAAATTAGATAAAAACACAGTTTATAAACATATAAAAGCTTTTTGCTTTTTTGTAGGATGTTATAATAATTCACACTGAAACTACATCACCAATTCTAATGAAACATTCTGGAGTTGTAAAGTTATTTTCTCGGATTCTAACTACTAAGTCACATTTATTGGCATGCTGTGTCATTGTTCACAGTTTCATACAGAGGGTATTGGTGGGTAGTAATGGCTTCAGTGCCTTTCCTAAGGACAGTTTGATATCTGGTGAGGAAAACTTGGACTCAAACTCACCTATTAATGGCCGACAGAGTCAAACTCACCAAAAATAAAAGTCATAGACTTGCAGTAAGTGAACCTGTTGCTGGATCTACTGTTAGTCTAGTCAAAGGCCAGAAGCTCTGATTGAATTTTTGGTTGTTTCATGTTAGAAGGTTTTGTTGTAGAATCTTGAAACATCTTAAGTTCCTTCAGC